GGAAGTTCATCAGTCCCCGGATGTTCTTCAATAAAGATAAACAGACAGATCAGATAGATATATTAGTGATGACGAAGAGTATTTTAATGATTAATAAGTTCTGAGGTTGATCGTCATGTTTTTTATTACCTTGAGGACATTTTTTGATGATCTCTTCAAAAGTAGTTAAGGAATGAAAAGATACTACAAAACTCGTATAGTCATCTTCAAAGCCGTTTTCTACAAATGGCAGATCGCCAGTTACGTATTTGGCCCATGTGTATGAGATGATACGTAGACAACATTTCGTAAACATAAGTGTAATAATAAAATATAAATTTTTAATCTAAATAATTAATAATCTATTAAAATCACTTGTTAAAAATATTTTTTGTATGGTGCTGGAAGACTATACTCAAAAATCACGTAAGAGCTTTAAAACGCATCAACTTTTTGTAGAAATGATATTTCAAAAAACTGACCGACCGGTAACTTATAGAGCTCGTTACAAAGAACAAAATTACCGGTTAGTTTTTTAAAATATCATTTCTACAAAAAGTTGATGCGTTTTAAAGATCTTACGTGATTGTTGAGTATAGACTTCCAGCACTAGGGCTTCTAGGTTCGGTTCGAGTTCGGTCAAACCCCGAACCCAACCCGAACAGAGATTTTAAATTTTTTTGAACCCGGACCTGAACTCGAACTCACAATTTCCGAACTCGAATTGAACCCGAACGTTGCTATGGGTTCGGTTCGAAGTTCATGAACATGTTCGAGTTCGACATTATATAAACTCTATAAGCTCAGGGTTACAAATACAGTGTGTGACAAAAAAACTTGTCGATTTGTTGATTTTTTCGCAACTTAAAAATTTGATGTCCCTGACGGCAAAAAAAACAAAGAAGGAAATCTTATTACATTATTGGAAGAATAATGTGCGCTCTGTACCGATATTATGCAGGCTTACAAAGTTACCACCCTCTACTATCCGATACAACAAAAAAAAATTGAGAGAACTGGAAGTATTGGTCACAGGGGCAGAAATGAACATACTAAAAAAATTACTGGGCATATTGCAAAAACTGTAAGTCAGTATATTCGAAGGGATAACACAATATCTTTACGAACAATAGCTACCAAATTAGAAATAAATAGTGTTGAGGTATCGTACTGAACAGTCAAAAGGTATTTGTAGTCTATAGGATATATAAAAAACGTACTTTGACTACACCAATGTTAACGGAACAATAAAAAACTGGGCAAGATGTCATATTAATGACAATTGGGAAACAAAACCATTTACTGACGAAATGGCATTTCAACTATTTTGGAATATACTTAGTCATTGAAGTAAGGGAAAATAGATGATTCATCCTAGGCCTAAGGACCGTATCTTTGCATGGGATGGGTTCTGCTCAAGAGGAAAAACCAATTTATTTTGTTTTCAGCATATCATGGATGGACATTTTTATGTCAAAACTTGCAAGAACATATTGGGCAAGTTAACAGGATGCTTGGAGAACAGTGGCATTTCCAGCAAGATAACGACCTGAAGCATATTTCTCGTATTGCATTTCTTGCAGAGAACGTACCCAAACTTATGGATTGGTCATCGTGCAGTGCTGATTTGAATTCTATCTAAAATATTTGGTATATTGTTAAGCATCATGTAGAGAAATATATGCCAAAAAATTTTGCTGAGTTAGAGTTAAAAATGTTATTCTATTCTAGAAACGGTTATAATGAATCTAGTAAATTCAATGAGGCATCGTTGTAAGCTAGTTATCGAAATAATGGATTAGTAATTGATTTTTAAACTTTGATAAAAATATCAGGCTATCTTATGATATATTAATTACGATGCCAAAATTTTAAGTTTTTTTGTCACACACTATATTATAAACAGTGACCTGTGTGTGGGAATAAATTGACCATTTATTTTCTTTACATAATTTAGAATTATCATAGTCTTTAAAGTTCTTAGAGTTAAAAAATGTTATTCTATAGAAACGGTTATAATGAATCTAGTAAATTCAATGAGGCATCGTTGTAAGCTAGTTATCAAAATAATGGATTAGTAATTGATTTTTAAACTTTAAAAAAAATATCAGGTTATCATATGATATATTAATTATGATGCCAAAATTTTAAGTTTTTTTGTCACACACTATATTATAAACAGTGACCTGTATGTGGGAATAAATTGACCATTTTTTTTCTTTACATAATTTAGAATTATCATAGTCTTTAAAGTTCTTAAAGATAAATTCTATTTGGAATATTAATGTAAATAATTTAGATTTCAAGAGTCAAAATGAAAACTATTACGACCATTTTTTAGTATAGCAATTTATATTGATGTACTATTTGCATAGCTCATTCAATTAATCTGTTCGATTGCAATAAATAGCTTTCATGTACGATATAAAAATTTCTGACTTACCAAAATGAATTCATTGTCTGTATTATCTGAAGTTACAGAGGATTTCATACTGGAAATACTGAACAATAATCTGAACAGTCCCAATAGTCAAAGTATTGAGATCTTAGACAAGCATAATCATAAAGTGAAGTGTGGAATTATTTCGACAAGGTTGAATGGATGAAGGAATTGAAAACAGCTAAATGTACAATCTCGAACTGTAAACATAAAGCATTTTCTTATGGAACTGGGAGCACAACCAAACCATTATGATGCTATTTGGAAAGTACTCACCAAATATTATATGTCACAACAGAAGAATATTATAAGAAAAGACAAAAAAGTGATACAGCTGAGAAAATAAGTTTTTTTATTTTTTTATTTTAATTTTTGAACTTCTCTAATTTAAAAAGCTTATTTATAGTTCTACATGATTACTGTTATTGATGTTGACAATGAAAAACTTTGTAATATACTCATTAATCACCAATATTCACTTGTTATAGTGAAAGATACTGAATTAATTGAAATTTTTCAATATTTAAATCTCACAGCTCAATCTATTAAGACTGATGCAATTAAGAATACAGTTATACAACTCTATATCTCTTACAAACAAGAATTAAAAGTAAATATTATCTTTATTATATAATATTCTTTTTATTTCATCTGTACTCATAATTCTATAGATATACCTCTCTATCATCAATTCCAAACTTGTCTTTATATCAGATCTCTGGACATTTTCCAACAACAAAGTATTTATTTCTGCTATAGCTTATTATATTAATAATAATTGGACTCTTCAAAAAACAATTATTGACTTTGGTTTAATAAGTAAATAATATAATGAAATAAATTTTGTGGATAAATTTTTTAAGTTACTAAAAGATTATAAAATTACATCAAAGATAAGTATTATTTTTTATTTCTTTACTAATTGGTCATTATATAAAATTGGCATGTCAATGTTGATTATTTTCATTTTTATAGAGATTCAGAATTTTGAACTATTTGTTATAGAAAATTCAGTTTTTCTTAACATCTATTTATCATCATTATTTTTATTTGTCTTATAAAGTACTTTTTTTATAGCTTCTTGTCATTACTTTAGATAATGTTGCAAATAATAATGTTTTTGTGTGAGAATTAGTAACAAAATTAAAGAAAGAAGAAAATATTAAATGGAACTCAAAGCATCTTCAATTTCAACATCTTAATCATATTCTTAACTTGATAGTACATATGATCTTAGATCAAATAAAAAAAGATATTTGCAAAGTATTAGTAAAAATATTTTTAAAATATAAACATAGAAATATTTATCTAATTCATTTTTTATTATACTAACAAACCAATTTTAAAGATTAGAGAACTTAACTCTATCATCCGCACCTCGTTCCAACATTTTAAAATTCTTAAAATGTCTGTAATGCATGTTATATTAAATATTGTAAACTCATTTCGAATTGTCCCATTCAGTGGAATTCTACTTATAACATAATCAAGAATGAGCTATCTCTTAAGTCAGTATATTTTTAACTTCTAATTTCATATGATCAGAATGCAAACTAACAATAAATTTGCAGGTACTTAATACTCTTACTAGCTCTCATAGTGATCTTTACCACTATGTTATTTCACATAGCCAATGATCTGTCTTGGATAAAATTACTGAGTTCCTTGAACTATTTAAGAATATCACAGTTAAAATATCAGCTAGTTTGAATAGTACTTTTTAGATCATTTCTCTCTTTAATATTATCATTGATCACATTGTAGATGTGACTTCAGACGTGAAGACAGAGAGTGGAATTGGTAAAGTATTAAGAAATTTGATTTTATTTACTAACTTATTTTTAACAAATTTAATTATTAGTTCCACCACTTGTTGTGGTGGCTACGGCAGCAAGAAAAAAGTTAGTTCAATATTACTCTAAAACAAATGTTATGTATTGTATTGGATCCAAGAAGAAAGTTCTATTACTTCACAAAGAAGGAATTTCCAGATGATGAGATTAATAAAACAAAAGAACTGTAAGTTATTTTATTTTATTTGCCAACTCTTATATAATAATTAACTCCTTAGAATACTCTCTTTGAAACAGAATATGCGTTAGCCACTAAATAACAGCTTTTTATTGAATACCAGCCTTAATGATACTACAAAATCAATTACACGGTCCATACTGGATGCAGACTTTGATAATGAAGAAGAAGATCTTGATGAAATCGAACGTTATACCTCTGAGAAACCAGCCAATAGAGAAATCAATGTGCTGGCATGGTGGAAGGTAAGTGATAATAGTTACCTATCAGAAATAATAATTTCACACATTAAATAGTGTAATATTTTAGGCGCACAAGACGCAGTTTCCTCATCTTGCCCGCATGGCTCACGATTACCTGGCAATCTCAGCATCCTCTGTTGCTTCTGAACGTGCCTTTTCTGCTGGCGGAAGCATGATCACAAACAAGAGATCCAGCTTGATGCCTAAGACTATAAGAGTACAATGTCTCCGGTCATGGATGCAGGGACCATTGAGAGAAAAGTTGGATAACTATGTGACATGAATTTTTAGTGTGATCTGGCAAATCACCCAATTAATAACTATCATAAATTTTGATTTATATGAAATTAGACGATTTAAATAGATTTTTATATGATAAATATTATTTTTATAATTTTTGAAGTAATATTTTATGTCTTTTCTATGAATACATTATTATAAACGTCATGTTCCAAATATTTTAATATCAAATTTGAATTCCTAAATTATACTTAGAATCAAACATACAATTTTACCGTTCTTCTCTGGTCTTCAAACTTAATGCTATCAAACCCGAACTTGTTCGTGAACTTCGAATCGAACTTCGAGCTGAACCCGAACCAACCAAAAAGTTCGGTTCGATAGGAGCCCTATCCAGCACCATACATGTACTTGGTTTTTTAAATATAAATCTTTGTAAAACCTATTTAAATTAGTAAATCTTTCAAAAAAAGGATCCATTCGATACCTTTATTTTCGTTGGACCATGATTGAAACAATCATCAGGATGATTGTTTTCTTGACAACGAGCACATTTACTTAGTAACAAAGTGAAGACCAAGAAAAATGGCAGATCATGTGATTCCGATCCCGATACCGACCATCCGATCTATCCCTTAAATTATAATGTATGATATTAAATAGAATTTCGGTTAGGGTAGGGTTAGGTTTAGAGTTAAGGTTATTGTATAGGCGGGCGTGTGTTATACAGTAAAATTTCGCAAGGAACATTTTTATTTAAGCACAAAAGATAGTTTCATAGGCAAAATTTTAAGATACAAGCTATTTTTCAAAAATAAGCATTTGTTTTTGTTTATTTTGAATTTTTGCGTTGCACATTGATCTTGCGATTTGAATGGTGCATAATTTTAAGGGATAGATCGGATGGTCGGCATCGGGACCGGATCACATGATCTGTCATTTTTCTTGGTCTTTACTTTGTTACTAACATTTACTACAAAGCTATATTCTAAGTACAAGTGACTCTTGTTATAGTAAAGGCATCCGAACTATTAGTAAAAAATTTTCAAAGATTTACTATATCGAGAGTTTATTAGTAAATTTACTATAACGAGAGGGTTTATTATAGATTGTTTTGGATTGAACTTTATTATATCAAAATTTTGATTAGTCTTTATTATAACAAGAGTTTATTACGAGAGTCACTTGTAAGAGCGTACATGTTTATGTACAGTTCTGACGGAAAAAAATAAATTTTATTTATTCCGCCAATTTTTATTTTTATTATTTAAAATTAAAATTTAAGTAACTTATTACATATATTATATATATATATATATATATTTTTAATATTCAATATTACAGCTGTCATTTTCAATTACTAGATTTATCTGATTTTTCTTACTAGCTGCTAAATTAAAGCATGTGTCACAACTGATACATTTCCATTCATCCTTAATAATGGCTTTAAAAATGTCTTGAGTAACTGATTATTTTTATTAATCATTTTATTTACCTTTTTTTCCACAGGTTTTCTATCGGATTTAGGTCCAGTGAATACGATGAACAATCAAGAACATGTGGGCAATGACTTTCAAGAAGGGAGATCATGATTATGACGATATGTTTTGGATCGTTGTCTTGTTAAAAGATCCATAACTATTCGAGAATTCGGCTTGCTTGTCTAAAAAGATTTTTGGTTAGTATTTCACAATATAACTTCTTATTCAAATTTTTAGTGAACATGTAGAATTCAACAATTCCCTGTACACAAAAAGTCTCTCACATTACACATGAACTTTGAAAAGGTGTTTAACAATTTCACGGTTTGATTTGCTTTCACCAACTTTGTAATGGACCAAGGTAGTGTTACGAAATATTTGGAATGTGGTTTTATCAGAAAAACACATTTTCCCATGTGTCGTGTTGGTGATTCTTAGTCCAAGCAATTCGTGCCAATCTGTCTTTTTCTTTGAGAAATAAGATGGTTTGAGATACACAACCCAGTAATCAAGCTTTCACAGGTTTTTCAGAACAGTCTGAGCAACTATGTTAAGGCCTGGATAAGTAATGCTTAGCGTTTCAGCAATTTCCAAGCTTGTTGTGTTGTGGTGTAATTTGAAGATTTGACCAAGAAAATGAAGCTTTCTGCACTTAAGGTTTTGGATGACCCTATCTGACTGACTTTTTTGTTTCAAGTCTCTTGTTTTTAATAATGTACTTTGAGAAATTCAGTAATTTTTTGTAACATTTTAACGTCTCAGGTTTCTGTTTCCCACAAACCTTTTACTAATGAACGATGTTTTGCAAGAGAAAGTTTGTGTTGTATTATAATGTCACTTGGATCATAAGAGTGTTGTTGTATTTAGATTTTTTATGCAAATTAGCCTGTATAACAAAGAAAAATTAGAAGCACATTACCCATTCAATTGTTGCGCAATGATTTTTAAACATGCAATTGTCAGTTCCAGTTTTTTTCGCCAGATCTATACAAGGAGCACAATTATGCTTGTGATCTGAAAATAATAATGTTGTGTTCGAATTTGATTGGTCAATTTAACAGGTAGTGGAACGCAATTTATCAATAACACTAAACTAAGAATCAAAAATTAACAATGACGTCTGAGTTATTATTGATTTCACATTCAAATAGACTCGATAAATTCTATGAAAATTCCAACTATTATGATATCTCGATTATTTTTGGTGAAAATCAGAATACTCAACATACTTTTTCAGCTCATTCAGCAATCTTGGTGACGCAGTTGCAATATTTTATGATAGCACTTTCTGATACTTGGGTGAAGAGAGAACTGAATAAGATTATAGTTTTTAAGAAATCAAATATCGAACCTCGAGTTTTTGAAATATTGCTAAAATATTTTTATGCTACAAATGAAGTGACACAATTAAATAAGAGCAATGACAAGAGTTTTCCTGGTTTAAAATTTTAATACATGTAGATATATTTACACTGGAAAAATTAATTTGTAAATCATGGTGTTGCAACACTTTTAGATATATTACGTAGATGAGTTGATTCTTGAAGATCTACTTGAATATATTCAAATTTGTCTTTTTGAATACCATTCGAAATCTTTTAAAGAAAGTTTTGCCTTGATCAACCAAGCTGCATTTGTGCATAGCACTTTTACTAAGCTTCATAAATTTTGCATTGATATTACATGTCAAAATTCAACTGTCATTTTTCAATCAACTGATTTTACCAAGCTACATGAATTTGCTCAAACGTGATGATTTAAATTTGAAGGAAATTATCATTTGGAAAAAGGTTCTTCTATAAGATGTCTCTCAAGCTGCAGATGCTGGTGAAATTTATTTAACAATTCCATCAGAAAAATGGACGCATAACAAATTTAAGCAACTTAAATCTACACTCATAAATTGTTTGCTGTTGATTTGTTTCTTCCATATCAATTCGATTGATTTTTATATCAAAGTTATGCCCTATGCTAAAAGTTTACCAGGAACACTATATAAAGATTTATTATATTATTATTCGGTGCAAGAAAGTGAGGAACAGAAGGTTTTCTCACACTCAGTACGTCTCAACTCTTTAGTTCTTTCGCAGAATCAAATCTCAAAAATAATTCACTGGATTAACGAACAAGATAACCAGCAAAAAAATTATTGCGAGGTAGTCGTGATAGATTTAAATCTACTGACTTTCATTATTTGTGTGATGATAAAGATCCAACAGTTATTGTTATTCATATAAAAGATGAGAAAAAGATCATTGGTGTGATTATAATCCATTTCAATGGAATTCACTTAGCAAACATTAAGCAGTTCCAAATAGCTTTTTATTCAAATTTAATTCTGATGACACTCAAGCTGCCAATGGAGTTCCAAGAAAACATATACAAGTGTCTTATGCTATAAAGATTATGAACAATTTTTGGAATGGTCATGATTTAGTTCTGTTTGCACCCTCTGAAAAGTAAATTGCTCATGGTTTGTTGAGCTCTAATGGAAGAAAAAGTATTTTGATATCGTGAATTATGAAGTGCATCAAGTAATGCATAAATAATTTATATTTTGCTTTGATTTATATTACATTATTATAAAATTTATCTGAATAAAATTATTTATTTATAAATAAAAAATTCAATTTTATAGATTTTTATATAATTTTTGTTTGTTAAATTGATTACTTGGCATAATCATTTATGAATATCTGTTATCTTATACGTTTCAGTTTTTCAACAATATCAAAATTTACAGCTGTGTAATATATAATGATAATATTTATTTTTTCATCTCAGTTAATTTTTATATTATGTAAAAATTACAGTTATTGATATTTTACTTAATTATAATTCCTTGAATATGAGTGAAAAATGAAACGATCAACTATTATTTTCTTATAAAATGTTACGAATTGACATATGTTAGAGTGAAATACTAATTAAAATTTGCATAACAAAATTGGGATCCAGAAACAGCTATAGTAACCCACCTCGATAAATATAAATTGGTTCAGAATCAGTTTTAGTAAACCTGTCTCGATACTACGTAACTGTATTAGTCACAGGACATGTTCCATGTCAATGAATTATATTTGTATAATGTGCGATATTGAGATTTGGAGATGGATGTATTTTATTTTAGACAAGTTTAATTCTTCTTTCGTCTTTGGATTCAATAAACCACTGTGAGCTTATTATAATAAATATATTTAGTTATAGCTTCGAATCTAAGCTTTAGATCTTTGGAGTATACTTGCTGACCATATCCAAAAAAGTAAATTTAGCCGTCAAATATCCCATAAAATTCCATTTTAATATTTCATTAATAATTTTAATTTAAATTAAATATAATTATGGTTATAATTATAAATAATATATTTATAAAGTTTTAATATATTTTTTTAATTTAGTTTTTGAGAAAAAGCAAAAAATTTTTTTAGAGTGTATGTGTAAAAAAAATGATTTCATATCATTTATGAATTGGAAGTGATATTATTTATATATGGAAGTTTGGTGAATATTTATAAAAGATGTAAATGCATTATTTTTTGTACTCAGAAAATTTTGGTATATTACACATGATCTATGGAAGTTCTGAAGGGTAGGCTACTTTTTAAAGCACTGTAAATGTTTGAGCATATTTTTTATTCATTATTATTTTAATTATGTCAGCCTTGGTGAATTTTGGTTAAATTGCTTTTGACATTAATTAGACAAATGAAAAAAATACTTTTTATCTTTCTTTTGCCATATATATAAAAAGATGAAGATAATAAGAAATACAGTTAACACCCATTAATCAGTGTAAAAATTTAAAAATTCAGTTTATCGTATCGAGATTTATTTAGTATCGAGACAGATTACTATAACTGATCCTGAACCAATTTATATTTATCGAGGCGGGTTACTATAGTGTTTCTGGAACCAAATTTGGTTTATGCAATTTTTAATTAGTACTTCAGGGTTAACAATTTACAATAGAAACTGTCAATTCATACATTATATAAGAAATTCATATCTTTTCATTTTTCGCTCTCTTATATTCAAGAAATTATAATTAAGCAAAATATCAATCACTATATACATGTTTAAGTAAAAAGCAATTTTTCACATGATGTTAAACTACATGAAATGAAAAATATTATCATCATCGTTATATATTTACACTTTGAAACTGACAAAGATAATAAATAATAATTATGCAAAAGCAAGTAAAATCCATAAAAATTGAATATTTACGTCATAAAATATCTACATCACACTTCATAATCCACAATATCAGAATACGTTTGTCCATTAAAACTCAACAAACCATGTTCGAGGGAGTATTTTGGCACCAATTTGAAGAGTCATCAAACAGAATTAAATCATGACCATTTCCAAAAATTGGTCCATAATTTTTATTGCATGCCACACTATGTCTTCGTATGTGTTTACTTAGAACTCCATTGGCAGCTTTGATGTCAGCAGAATTAAAAAGCTATTTGGAACTGAGTAAGATTTGTTAAGTGAATTCCATTGAAATAGGTTATAACCACCAATGATCTTTTCCTCATCTTTTACATGAATGGCAATAATTTTATCGTCACATAAACGATGGAAGTCGGTAGACTTAAATCCATCACGACTACCTCGCAATAATTTTTTTGCTGGTTGTCTTGTTCGTTAATCCAGTGAATTATTTTTGAGATTTGATTCTGCGAAAGAACTAAAGAGTCGAAACGTACTGAGTGTAAGAAACCCTTCTGTTCTTCACTTCCTGGCACCAAATAATGATGTAATAAATCTTATATAGTGTTCCTGGTAAAATTTCAGCATAGGGCATAACTTTGTTATAAAAATCAATCGAATTGATATGGAAGAAACAAATCAACGGCAAACAATTTTTGAGTGTAGATTTGAGTTGCTTAAATTCGTTATGCGTCCATTTTTCTGATGGAATTGTTAGATCAATTTCAGCATCTGCAGCTTGAGACTCCCCATTAAAAAATCTTTTCCCAAATGACAATTTAAATCATCACGTTTGAGCAAACAAACTAGAGCTGATTGAAAACGACAGTTGGATTTTGACATGTAATATCAATGCAAAATTTATGCAGCTTGGTAAAAGAGTTATGCTCGAATGCAGTTTGATCAAGGCAAAACTCTCAAAGGTTCCGAATGGTATTTAAGAAGATAAATTCAATTAGATCCTCGAGAATCAACTCATCGGCTGCGACAAATAAATCCAAAAGTGTGGAAACACCATGTTTTCGCAAATTGATTTCCACTGTAAATATATCGATATCTAGATGTATTAAAATTTTTAAACCAAGCAGAAAACTTTTGTCATTACTCTTATTTAATTGTGTAACTTCATTTTTAACATGAAATTACCTTAGCAATACTTCAAAAACTCGAGGTTCGATATTCGGTTTCTTAAAAACAATCCTCTTATTCAGTTCTCGCTTCACCCAAGCATTAGAAAGTGCTACCGCAAAATATCGCGACTGCGCCACCAAGATTGCCGAATGGCCTGAGAAAGTACGTTGAGTATTTTGATTTTTACCAACAATAATCGAATGTCATAATAGTTGGAATTTTCATAGAACTTATTATCAAGTCTACTCGGGCGTCATTGTTAATTTTTATGTACGTTAACGTTAACGTGTGTTAAGATAAACTACCGCTACCGCATGTATCAAATATCTGTGTTAAGCTTCTATCAAGCATATCGATATACATCCATATGAAAGTCAGCACATAACGATGTATAGTTAAAAGCCTAAATAAATGTACCACTGTTTATTTACATCAAACCAGCCCCCTCAAAATAAAGTACATGTATATAAGCACAGCAAAAAAACACAACAAAACAATACACACACCCTATATATAAAATGCACCTAAGAATATACTCTTTTATCCCATACCATTCAAATTATCATGGCACATATCCCCATCGAAAAAAGAGCCCAAATTCATACCCTTCTTCAAGAAGGATATTCCTCTCGTTTTATTGCAAACCGTGAAAATATTTCTCAATCCACCGTCATAAGAGTAAAGCAAAAAAAAAGATACTCTAAAGATTTACCAAAACCAGGTCGTCCTAGAATTTTTACTGGTCGAGACGAACGAAATATCATACGTCTAATTTCGAATGGTGATTGTTCTACTGGAGCTATCGCTATGGATACAAGTTGACATCCATTTTCGCTGTATATCACATAATGCGAATGATATTTTTCCATAATCACCTTTTTACGGTACATTACAAGAAAAAAGAAAAACGGTTAGTAATTAAAAGAGAGAGAAGCATGTACGCGTGTTTTTACCTTTAAATATAAGTTCGCGGAGAGAAGGAAGGAAAGAATAACGCGTTTTTTCTCTTCTCTCACCTTTTACCTTTCAAGGAAAGAGAAAGAAATAACGCGCGTTTTCTCTTCTTTTTTACCTTTCATTTAAATATCTCTATTTTTATATAACTAACAATAAAATATTTTTTACATTTTATATAGATATGGAGTCTCTTATACAAAAATTCGATAGTAATAATAATAATCACTGTCGTCCTGCTCTTCTTTTCATATATATCGGTTAGTTATCGGACATGTCAAATGAATATAGAGTCGTCGTTGGTTCTACTGAATATAGTATCCCAGAAGCGTTTGCCTATCTAGACGGTCGTTTCGACCAAGAAGAGGCAGAATCTAAGCGTTGTTCGTTATATGACTTTCGAAATGGTGAATACCAACCCAGCGCTCATGAGAAGAAAGAATTTCAAGATATGGTATTCGAGTTCAATCGGACTAAACGTCGTATTGGACAAAACGAAGCCAATAACCCTTTTCGTAACTGGTATAATTCCATCGATCTATCTCAGATGGAAAATATACTTCGTATGATACGTACACAGGAAGACTTGTTGTATGCTGAATGGACAGTAGCTTATGGTTTCAAAAAGACCTATACAAATTACGGTTCTAATTTGAGAAATCTACAAATGATATCCCTTCGTAATGAACTCATGGCTTCTGAAATTGAAGAAGTCTATGGTTTAAATATAAATACTAGAGCATTAGGCGGTCGTATGTTATATATCCCAGATGAGGAACTGTTCTTTAATGTAACTGATTTTTTCCAAGTTAAATACCTTTTTCAAATCGGTTATAGTCAGTGTTGTCACTTGGACGTAAATCCAGCAATTTGATTGGTCAGGACGCTTGTCCAACCAATCAAATTGCTGGATTTATGTCCAAGTGACAACACTGGGTTATAGTGTTCCTGGAGGAAACTCCCATCAATAAGAATTTCTATTGCATATTGAAGCTCCGGTATGTATAAATCTAGAACGCCATCATTGGTAATAACTTACCCACATCTACAGATACTGTTACATTTTCCGGAAGATGATTATATATTGCACGGTACAATTCAACTTGCCATGCTCTTTCTAAAAGCCTTCTTCCATCTTTAGATTTACTGTAATTATTTTTCAAGATATTTGAGTCGATGTTAGCTAATGCGTTTTGACTAATTCGCGTATATTTTTATCAAATAAACCAAAACGAATTGACTTTTGTATACTCCAAAAGGCATTGAGTTTGAGTTGAATTCAAATAAGTCTTGTTTTGAAATGAAAGCTGTGTTAGCTCTACTGCTTTCTTCTACTGGTTGGTATTTGCCAATATCCAGAGGATAAATCCAAAGATGAAAACCACTTTGAGTTTCTAAGATTATCTAACATTTCATTAATTCGTGGAAGTGGATATGCATCTTTTGAGTAACAAAATTTAATCTTCTATAATATATACACAGTCATTTCTTTCCATTTTTTTTGACACCACAACAATTGGAGAGGCCCAAGGACTTATTGAAGGTTGTATAATTCCAGCTTGAAGCATTTTTTGTATTTCTTCAGCAATGAATTCTTGATCTGGAATTGTTGCTCTATATGGCTGCTGTTTGATTGGAATAGTTCCATTAGTGTTAATTCATCAGTCAGTGGTAATAGTGACGACGACGACGACGACGACGACTGTGACAATGGTGATGATGGCAATGATAGAAATGGTGATGATGGCAATGATAGAAATGGCGATGATGATGATGATGATGATGATGATGGTGATGATGATGATGATGATGGCGAGGACGATGGTGGTGCTATTGGTGACTTTTTATAATGAAAAAAAAGTATTAAAAAAAAACTAATTAGAATTATTTATTGATTTTTTCTCAGAAAAAAACTGAAAGCACATCAATTTGATATGGGTCAGTTCTTAGCAAACTGATGGATCAGCATGCCGTTAAAAAAACTGAAAGCACATCGATTTGGTGTGGGTCAATTCTTAGCAACCCCGAAGCAAGAGATGGATCGGTATGCCGTTATCATTAGGTTTCATTTCCCATGAAAATTATTCATTCCATCATAAAAATATTTTTTATTCCATTTATAAAAAAAGATTGACTTACATTTGTATTTGTTTTATAGAGTATGGCAATATTTTTTTTCGGCATCTGTATTATCATCTTTTATAATTTCGTTGAGTTGTCTTCGATAATTTCTGAAGATTAAGAAATAATCTGTGTATCCGAGCATGCGCATGAATAAGTCAAATGAAACATAATCCCATTGTTGGGTTGAAGATAGTGAAAAGTAATTTTTATTTCATTATGTTAGATGGTTCTCGTTCCGACATTTTTTTTGTTCGTAATTTGGTTTTTCACATGTGTGATAGCTTGATTAGCGTTAGATGTTCACTCACACTATTATTATATTTATTATCGATATCTTTGTGACACACCAAATCAGAAAATCCAAATGGCTGTGCACAACAATGATAGCGATAGGGTAATTGTTTGCTTTAGCTGCAAACATTATTGCCTTACTCACGGCAAGCTGTGAGAAACGACGAATATCGTGATTTTTGCGATTGAATATCGATATCGATATGGATATCAGAAAAAAGTGTCACCATGTTTGGATCGGAGGTCGGAAGTTGATCATCATCGGATTACAAATGAAAACCAAATACATGTAAAAAAAAAACGGAAGATCAAATTTATTTGTATATATATCGATATCTCAAAAGATTATCAAAAAGCTAAGAAAAAGCTAAGTATAAATGCTTTGGCATACCGATACTTTCAAATACATTTTCACTATACGCAATAATATTAATAGATTTTTATCTCAATGTCTCGGAACAAGTAGGCTTGATTTCCATCTATCGAATATACCAGACCACATGCCCATGAGACAACCGCGAATAGTACTTTCTGAAGTGCTCTTCAGTTGGTCCGCAAGCCAAATTCGTGGTTGTTGGATTAAAGGTTAAAGATTAGCGTTAGGGATAAAATGCGTGAAAGTCACGATACACAAATTTCTTAATGTGAATGTTATTCAACCCTCGAGTAATATCGATATACGCAATTAAATATATATTTGTGAAGATCACTTTTGCATAATCCATCACTATTGTTATCAAGTATTCATTCCATAGCCAATCCAGCACTTTAGAACCGTCTGAATCTAATTTTGAAAAAGTTGATTAGGTTGAAAAACAAAAAAGTGATATGCTTACACTTTAAAAGGTGTTCATTTTACCTCGTTATAAACTTGGATGTAATTTGCTTTGAATTGTGTAATGATTTTAACACAACTTTTTTCTTTGTCATTTCGTTTAAATTTATTTTCGACGTGCTCCCAATACCCATTTAATGGACCGTCCAACCGTCGAGTACCGTTACTGTATATTCATCAATATTATTGCATTCATTTATTAGACTGTCGATATCTTTATCTCTACTGGACCATTCAACATAAATTCGTTTGTGATAGCGAAAAACATCCAACACAGTACTCATTTCTTGACATTCGGTACATTTACTACAATCAAATAACCCATACAAGATAATCTAATCGCGGCCGATTAAAACGATGAAGGTAACAACGTTTAAGTACTTGAATAAAATTCCATTATTATTTTCAACATTGGAGAGAAGCTCTGCTACATAATCACTAAGAGCTTGTGGCGAAATTGATTTCAAAATAGTTTCAGTATTATTATTATCCAATTTTTTTTTGTAGCTCTCTTTCAGCTTTAGAGATAAGGCAATTTATACATGTTTTATAAGATTTTTCTTTGAATATGAAAGATTCGGGTGAATAATAATGAGTACAAGAACTACATTTATTCATTTTGTAGAAGTTATGTAAGCAATATTAGTGAATTGTAAAATCCAAGAATTATTTACTAAGATAATTTGGAACTCTATGAGATATACCGATTTGGACAAGTAAAACTTAATACTAGAAATTACACAAGATTTTTTATTTAAGGTAAGATTTGATTACATGAAAAAACTGGTCTCTCTAAGCATTTTTCTCATAATAGATTGGGCTTCGAATAATAAGATTTTTCATTTATAGTCTCCAGGAGACTATAAATGTACTATAAATGTCTCATATGACGATGGTGGCGCGATTTGATTGTCAGATAACAGACGACGGTGACGCATTCCGTCGTCAGATAATTTGATTAATAAAAATAAAGTTTGAGATTATGTTGAAAGAATTTCAATATTGATTATCTATTATTATATCAACTATTCCAGTAGCCAAATAAAATAACAAAGATAGTATAATACTTTGCTGAACTCTTTTCAAATACTTGATAGTCTTTATATTTACTTAATATCTCAAAATTAAAAATCAAATTTGCAAATAATAAACAAAATCACCATTTTGAATTTGTTCTTTTGCTTTATATTTATATAGAATTATTTTCTACAAAAAAATAAAAACAAAAAATAATTATTATATAAATTTAAAAATATAAAATATTAAGTTAAGAAATATCTAAAAAAAATCAAATTCTTGTAATTTAATTTTTGGTTTATATTATTGAGCCCATTTTTATTTTATTTTTGAATAGTTTGCATAGAATGTATATTTCTTTTAGTTACAAGGCTAAATATATTATATATATTTTCTTCACTAAAAGTTGTATTGTTATTATTATGAATAATAGTTAATATTATAATAATTCTTTATACACATTTGAATTGCCAAATTCGTACTATAGCCATAAAATTATTCAAAATTTGATATAAAGTTGGAATTAGAATTAGAATTAAAGTAAAGATCAAAGTTATAAATAAAATTATCTCACTGACATTTTTTATTAGTATTTTACATTAGATTTAAATATTTATTTCCTGTATTTTCACATTTTTCATTTTTTTGTATCAGAATATTTTGTTAACTAATCAAAAATTTGTACATTCTTATTGGTTTATATTATTAATAAATCACATTCTTATTGAATTGTGATATGAATTTGATACATATTCCAAATATGCATTCTTTATTATTATTTACAATTATCAAAGTATAATATATTTTATAAGATTTTTATAAATTAATTTACTTATCCAAATAATATAAATTTTCTCAATTAAATATAAGATTCAAAAGGTTATTATTAAGTCTTGTTTAACTAGAATTTGTAAATTATTTTAAATTATTTCACAGAATTTATTAATTTTAACTAAAGTATATGTTTTTAAATTAATGTTTCAAGATGTAATTTAGAATCTAGCAATTTTTTCCAATGAAATTTATAATTGTTTATAAGATATTTTATTAAATTATTAACTTGTATATACTAAAGTTTTTTATTTATTGAACAATTAAATAAATTATTTTTTCTTCTTAATCCAACTTTATAAGTATATATTATATTATATACTGTTCAAAAAAAATAAAATTAAATATTATTTTTGTTTACTATATAAAAATTAGAAATATTTTTTTAGTAAATAATTATATAAAAAATTTAGAAATTTATTAATTAAATTACTTATATAAAACTTTTTTTATATTTTTATATATACTTTAAATTTGCAAATATTTTACTAATTATTAGAATTTTAACCAAAGTTTTATTGTTATTTGAATTATTATTTATATATATTTCAATTAAAAAATTATATTTTTTTAAATTGGAATAATTTCTTTAAGTAAATTAATTAAAATAGTATATTTTATTTGTTGAGAGCTAAGTTCAAAATTACTATTATTCACTTTTATTTTTTTATTACTATAATTAATTATATATAGTTTTTCAATAGTATAAAATACAATTAACATATTTTATATTCTAATTATTAATTATTTATTTATTTAATTAAAAATATATAAAAATACTCAAAAATGCAAAAATTTTAACATTTTTATCAAAATCTTTGTCCAACTGAAATTCATGAAACTCTTTATGAATATCTAATACATAAAGGCATTTAATCGCTCTAACTAGCCAGCTGTCATTAGGACGTTTATAAGCAATCCTATTATTTTGTTTTGTTGAACAAATGCACTAGCCTATTTTGACATTAGAAAAAATAATAATAACGCGCAGGAAAAAAGTTGAACGATTTTATATGCATGTATTATTTGTAAACGTGATTGATTTCTATTAAATCTACTAACGCTACGAATCAGAGTATGCGCGAAGATTTTGGTTCTCTTTTTTCGCTGACATTTCGTACTAGTATTCTTCATTGACAGATACGGCTTCTTCCCGTTTGATTTTGGTGAGATTAGTTCTTTGCGGTAGATTTTCTATCGTAGTAAATTTATAGTTTGTGTTTTCTGCTCGTTGGCAAGTTTTCGTCGATGTTTCCCAGTCATCGTGAGTTTCTAAATTCGTAGTTAGTTATGTTTCCTCTGAACTACCGCTTGCGATTTAGTTAGATCGAGCTAATGTTAGCTGTATTATTGGTAAAGTTCTTTCATTCTTCAATGTTTCTTCAATCGTTAGTGCGATTTTGTAGTTTATGGAAGCATTTCCAAACGGAATGCCGTACTCCTACGATGTTGTCTTGGTTGGTAATCCGTATTTCACATAATACATGTATATTGAGTATTTTGCAGATTTCTAGATGCATATTCAACCACCTCCATTTAACTGAAGCACTAATTAAAACCTCGATAAACTACAGAAACAGCGATAGTAAATCCGCCTCGTTAAATTGAATAGACCAATTCGGTTTAGCAGGATTGCCTTTATAAAAAGCGAATTTCGAGTGTCAAATACATGTACATCAGTGATGCGATGTTGCTATACATACGAATGTTATCCAAAATACTAACAACACAACCCCCCAACAATCGATAGACCTGACCTGACAAACGAAATCCCGAAATCACAAATCCTTACAGTTCAACAATCCCGACATAAAATCCCAACATTTACAGCTCAAAACACTGAAGTTATGTACATAAAGCTAGGGTATGTTATGTAGAAATTGCGTATTAGCACCGGTGGTTTACTCCTTTTAATGCTTTTAATTTTTGAACGTCAGGATTCTGTATTTGGGATTTTGTGAGTATGGGATTACGTTTGTTGGATTAATCGATTGTCAAGATTATTGTTGTCAGAATTTCGTACCAGATCCTACACACGGATATTCAAAAGTACTGCGGAAATTTTATTACCATTTTTCTTAAAAATGGTCTAAATAAGTTATCCCGAAGAAGCTGAAAGAATTTTTAGGATTCCGTCGAAAAAAGAAAATTTTTATATATCTTCTCAAAAACTTCTCAAAAATCGCAATGATATTACCATTTTTCTTAAAAATGGTCTAAATAAGTTATCTCAAAACTCAAATAATTAAAATAATTAACAGGTAAGCATTACCGAAGAAGCTGAAAGAATTTTTAGGATTCCATCGAAAAAAGAAAAAAGTTTTATATGAATCTTCTCATGAACTTCTCAAAAATTTGCATTTTGATGACCTCATTCCTATAACATTCGAAAACTAGCGAACCTTATTCGAAAAATACTGCGGAGAATTTTTCTCAAAAAACTATCTGAATAAGTTACCTAAAAACAAAAAATATTAATAAAATGAATCTTCATCGAAGAATTAGAATTCCGTCGGGAATAAAAAAGGTATATACATGTATATATATTCTCAAATCATTCCTATTTTTGATAGTATTCCTAATATCATTCAAAGATTTTATTTAAATAGTCTAAGTATATTATTCAAAAAATTGAAAAACTTCTAGAGTTTAACAAGAGTAGAGAGAAGAATTTTTATCAGTTTGAAAAACCATATCGATGTTTCTTTTTGCTGATGATCAACACATTTTGATGACATCATTTTGTACGTCCTGAATCTGTGCCAAGTTTTATCGATCATAGACCAATAGCCTCAGCATCCAATAAATTTTTGATCAGACCGGCAAAACAAATCCGACAAAAGAAAGAAAAAATACAAGAAATGCAAAAATACGAGAAATAGGTGTTTAAATCTAGCTTGGAGTACTAATTAAAAACGTCTAGGAGGCAAATTTATGTATAAGCTATAACTCAGCTCTAACCCTAACCCTTATCCTAAAACCAACCTTTTAATGTTAATTAATATTACAGTAGAATTTTCCGAGATCAACAAAACCATGGCACAGATTCAGGATGTGCATACCCTTAATCAGTGTTGTACATTTTGGATGTCCAAGCACTTTTTTGACTGTCCAAATGTCCAAACGTCCAAATGTCCAAGTGTCCAAACTCTTATACTATTAAAAAATCAAATAAAAAATATATGATTATATACAACGAGAAATTCTAAACATTTTTAATTAGAGTGTCCAAACAGGTTATTTTAATAAAATTTTGAGTAAATTTGATTTTTTTTTTGTCAAAAATGTCCAAGATTGTCCAAAGGCATGTCCAAAGCTGTCCCGTGACAACACTGCCCTTAATCTTGCATCGATACCTATACTTTTTGGGGGTACTGTACATGTATCACACCGAATTAGAATAACAGGTTAACGTTAATTGATATACAATCTATTGATTTTTATAAAACACCTTTTTCAATATTTAAAAAAATGGATTCGTCTTTCTTCAAAAAAATTCTTAATACAGAATCCATATCGACAACTTCCGCAGTGGGTAATTCAATCAATAATCTTAATCATACTGTTCTAATAATTACTGATAATAAAGTGTCATCGTTAAGAACAATTAATTCTACCCGTCATCACGAAGAGCTTCGAATATCCAAAAAACAAAAAAGAGATAACGACTCTGACGACGAATATTCTCGCAGCTATACACACCACAAGAAATCAACTAGCTCCAAGCAGTGCTCTTCCGCTTCTAAAAAACAAAATTCTGATTCAGAATATTTTTCCTCTTCTAAAAAACATAAAAGACAAGAAGGTTACATTTCAGATTATTCTTCCTCTTCTAAAAAACACAAAAACCAGGAAAATTATAATTCATATTATTCTCAGACAAGTTTACACATTAAGAAGCCAGAGTCAGAAAATTTTATAATTTACCATAAACATACTGATGAATCGATCAACAATGAAAAATTTAATGACATTATTGAATCGTGTTTCGAAAAATTAATGATAAACTTTCGGAACTTGTTCAATTCTGGCGAAGAATTAGATGATATAGCCAAAAATCTACAGGCAATATTTGAAATCCAAAAAGAATATTCTAGTAATAAAGAAGGATTTATAAAAGTCCTTGAAGTCAACAATCAATTTACATTACTTCTGGGATTTTTTTATCATTATGGAATTAAAATCGAAAAGAATCATCAATTAGCTTTTGAAAATTATAAAAAATCTGCAAGACAAAATAACCCATTGGCTCAATATTTACTTGGATTTTGTTATGAAAATTCTATTGGAACTCAAAAAGATGAAGAAAAAGCAGCTGAGGATGGAGATGCTTTAGGAGAATCTATCGGAACACAAAATGATGAAAAACAAGCATTTGAGTGGTATTTGAAATCTGCAGAGAATGAAAATGCTAGAGGACAAAATAATCTCGGTTTTTGTTACGAGAATGGAATCGGAACTCAAAAAGATGAGAAAAAAGCATTTGAGTGGTATTTGAAATCAGCAGAAAGAGGAGATGCTTTAGGACAAATTAATTTCGGAACTTGTTATCGAAATGGAATCGGAACTCAGAAAGATGAGAAAAAAGCATTTAAATGGTATTTAAAATCTGCAGAGAGTGGAAATGCTATAGGACAGTGTTATTGTTATCGAAATGTAATCGGAACTCAAAAAGATGAGAAAAAAGCATTTGAGTGGTATTTAAAATCTGCAGAGAGTGGAAATGCTAGAGGACAAAATAATCTCGGTTTTTGTTACGAGAATGGAATCGGAACACAAAAAGAGGAGAAAAAAGCATTTGAGTTGTATTTGAAATCAGCAGAGAGCGGAGATGTTGAAGGGCAATATCAGCTTGGACTGTGTTATTATTACAGTGATGGAACGTATAGAGATACAAAGAAAGCATTTATGTATTTCCAGAATGTAGCTGAGTCAGATTCTGTTAATGCTCGATATTTTCTTGCAGAATGTTACTTTCAAGGAAATGGAATAAATAGAAACGAGAGGAAAGCATTTGAATGGTATGTAAGATCCGCAGAATCTAATCATGTTTACTCTCAATTCAAATTGGCAGAATGTTATCAATATGGCTTTGGAATTCCCAAAGATCTCGATATGGCATTAAAATGGTACAAAAAGGCCTACGAAAACGGTCACGAACGAGCAGCAGAGCTTGTTGAGTCATTTAATTTCGAAAAAATATATTCTAATTTTTGATGGCCTTTCAGTTTAGTATGACATTATTTTATAATTCGTTTTTTATCCTTGCTATTCATTTATAATCTATTATTTCTCTCTCTCTCAACATATTATCTTACCCATTTACATAACGAGTTTGTTATAGTTACCCGTAATTTGACCACAAATACCTGTAAAATAATCAAGAAATAATATTTCAATAAGTGTTTTTTACTGGTATAAATATCTGTAAATTAGTATCGGTATGTTATTTACATACCGATGCTAATTTATAGCCAATAAATCTGTAAAAGTGAGTGAGGTAAAATTCCATACTGTTCCTAAATTAAGCACCACCCTGTTTTAACTTTAATGTTACTCACTTTTTGTAACAAAATATAATTTTCTAATTTCAGTTATAATATCTATATATTATAAAAAAAACATTGCGTTTTTATGACGAGTTCATATTAACGCGTTTCTTATTATTTTCTATCTTAATAACGATTTTTCACATGTCAGATAACTTGTAGGATTTATTATTCAATAACGTAAAAAATCAGCTATAATAAAATCACCTTTTTATATATTATATTCATAAAATTATTGTTATGGAGTTGATCATATATTGTATTTGAATAATTTATCGTTATTATAATTAGGAAACGGAAACCGTTTTAAATCATTGATTTTTAGTACCCTAGCCATGGCAAAAAAAAGGGTCTGATCATGTGATATTTGTGTTGTCCGGCAAAATTCTACGATAATATAGGTTATTGTTAAAGGTTAATTTAAAGGTTAGGATTAGGGTTAGGGTTAGAGCTGGAGTCAAGATTATATGTAAAATTGTCTTCCCAACTCTTTTTTAGTGTACCAAGCTGGATTAGGTATTTATTTCCCGTATTTATTTACTTTTTTCATTTTCTTGCGCCCGATTTGTTTTGCCGGACTGATCAAAATTTTACGCATTTTTATTGGTTTGTGCCACAATCGGCACGTGATCCGACCTTTTTATTTTGCCATGGCTAGGGTACTCCAATTACGTAATTTTTCAGACTCCTGACGATCTTCTTTTTAACAAAAGAAAATACATGTATCTGGTTACACAGATACTTGGTGTAGTCGCCGGTATTGTTGCGTTGATTATAATAATTAGTCAAAGAGGGGTTTTTTTGCAACAGGGTGAGAGCTAGACTGAATTATTAACGAGTAAAGGGTTTCTTTGGGCATTCTAAAGGCTTCCCGTGGCGACTTGTAAGCAAATCGACATTAAAGATATGGGGCGTTTACAAACTAATAATAAAACAAAATAAAATTATAATTCAAAATCAATTTAACGATTCTAACGCAATAGGACTTATTGATGCGGCCCGGACAAAGAAAAAATCAAATCTAAATGACAGTAATATCAAAAACACAATCGACGACTTATTTAGAGTGGAAGAGCATCTACTACTTGCAATTACTCACAAGGTTTGAAGTTTGACCAAGAAAATAAAATAATAGTGTATTTACAAGTAGTATTACTACTACAAGTAAGAACTTTGTTATTTTATTAGACCAAAAGCATGTTTCTACGAAGGCTCGAAAGCACCTCTATATATACAGGACCGAATTACTACGCTAATTCTAAGGTTAGTATTTTACATCTGTTTCTTTGGGGCTTATTATCAAAAAATCAAGTATCTATCGTTCGATTTCTAATCTATTTTTATTAAAGGACTATTATCTACAGATAATCGTTTGTCTCCTTTGGATAATCACGCGTCGAGACGTTCAATAATATTAAAGAATCAGAAGAGAGATTTATGACTAAGGAAAAAGGTATTGTCTCGTATTGTGATTCGGGTTAATTAGGAACTAATTTAAAAAAGAATTTTTATTTAGGAATAAATTTAGGAATTAATCGAACGGAATTAGGAAATTCTATTGTGGACTATTTAAGGTTGGATTTTCATGGACAAATTAAGCGCATAAATTATAGAATTAAAGGATTTAACGTTACTTTGGTAACAGTATATGATCTAATATAGCCAAAAAAATTGGTCATGTTAGTGTTAAGATTACATCCTGTTATATAGCCATGACTATATATAATTCCTTACAAAAATAAAGTTTCAAAATATAAAAAATTTAATTAAATATTACTACAATTAGTATAAATAATTATAATTAAATTTATAAACCGTATTTTTACAACAAAATTATATAAGATAATCATAAGAAAAATTAATATTTATAAATTATAGAGCATTTACTATGAGGAATTGTAAACATTTTAGATTATAATTAAAATTATAATCCATGTTTAGTTACAAAACAAAGCTGAAAAATATTTTGAACAAATTTAATCATATATTCTTATAAACAAATTAATTTTTTAATATTGTAAAAATTACTAAATAAAAATCAATATAATAAAATTTGATTCTATAAATTAACTATTATGATCCAGTACAAAAATGTAAATACATCATTTTGTTATTAATAAAAAAATTTTTTACTTTAAATTATAATTAATATGTTTATATAATTTTTTATTATAATTAACAAAAATAAAAATTTTATTAATTAATAATTTTTTGAATTTAATTATTTTGATTGTTTTATATAGTTATTTATAATCATTTTTTATAAATTTTATATAATAAAAAAATCAGATATTTGAATTTAAAAATTAATTTTTCAATAACTAGTGATTTAATTTAAAATACAGTACTTATCAGAAGTAATATATCTCTTTTAACTTTCTATAGATCATATATAATATATCAAAATTTTTTAAGTACAAAGAATATTATAAATACTAATTGTTAATATCTTTTATAGATTAATAAAGCTTCTATATTGAATATTATATATTCATATTATATATATAAAATTAGTTATTTCATAATATATATCTCAATATTCAATAATCTAATTCTTGATATCTAGTAATTTGATTTAAACAAAATAATATCATTTAATTTATCTAGTTGAGATAAATTGAACAGTATTATTTTTGTTTAAATTAGATCACTGAATATTATTTTTATCTTCAATAATTAAATTCAAATTAATACTATTCAATTCATTTTGAATAGATAATTAAATAGTATTATTTTGTTCAAATTAATCAAATTCATTTTTTTGATAATCAATTTCTAATAAAAAATTGATTAACAAATATAAATTAATTATTTTAGAATATAATATCTCAATAAATTATATGATATTATTTTTTATTTAAATTGAATTACTAAATATCAAGATATTATATTTTAAAATAACTGATTTATTATATTTAAAATATAAAAGTTTATAAATATATAATACTTAATATAAAAACTCTATCAATTTATATATGTAAAAGATATTATTTATAATATTTGTGCTTAGAAAATTTTGATATATTATATATAATTTATAAAAAGTTATGAGAGATATGTTATTTCTGACAAGTATTATATATATATTATTATATATATATCAATATACTTGCTAAATACAAATTTATAAAATTGCATATTTATAGAAAAATATTAAAAATCAATTTTTTTAGAAAAAAATTTTTTTTAAAAAATTCAAAAAGTTTTATTTTATCTAAATTTTATTAAAAAATAATAAAAGAATAAAAATAGTACAAATAATTAAATTAAAACATATTTTTGATAGAGTAAAAAAATTATAAACTTTTAATTAATAAATTTTATAATTATAATTAGAAAATTTTATTTTTTCTTTTGATGTATCTATAGTTTATATTAGATTATACTATTCTAGATATAAATTTGATTGTTTCTAATTATTATAATATATAATAATACTTGATTTTTAATATATATAGCTCCAAATATTTTTAAATACAGAAGATAAATTAGTTATAAAAATAGTATTAAAATAAATAATTTGTATGAGTTTATTTTTGTTCTTTCTTAAACTGTTTAGCGAGCAAATTTGTTAACTAAAATTTTTTTAGCTTATTTTTGTATATTTGTTTCTAATTTTTATAAGTCTTAATTCTCTTTTTTTTCTAAGTTAAAATAAAAATATAGCATATTTTTAATCAATATAATCTAAAATTTGTAATTTTTATTTATAAATTTGCGCAAAATATTTGATTTATATTGTAATTAGTTATGTAATTTTATTATAAATATTTTTAAATTTGCTTATTTTTAACTTAAAGATAATTATATTTTTTCATATTTGTTAAAAAGTGAAAATATACTATTATATAATACATAATTAAAGCTAATTTTAAATAACGTTTTCTAAAATATTTTAATTTTTGATAAAATTGTATCAGAAAGTTAAAGAATTTTATCAGGCAAATTTTCTACCTGACTGTTTAAGGAATAATTATTGTTTTCAAATTGAATTACTTACATATTTTTTTATTTATTCAAATTTTAATAATAATATAATTATGCAAATTAATAATTTATTAGCTATAAATAGCTCATTAAATTCTAAATAATCAATTAAATGTTGTATTACTCTATTTTATTGAGATAATTATTTTGTTCAGAATTCAAAAATTCATGTTGATATAATACAGTCAAAATTTTAGTTTCCTTCCACAATTACGAATAGGATTTGGAGCAAAAACATCCCAAGCATCAATGATATACAATTTAAAATATTGAATTGAATAGTATTAGTTTGGAGCTCGTGTTCTAAATCATATCCTTCAATAACTAGTCTTTTCTATAATGCATCTAACAATTAATAATTATTTTTTGGTATATAAATTTTTTTGCAAAATTTAGTTTAATAAATAAAATATAATTTTCGCATCAAGCAGGCTATCGTGTTCAGTGATAAAATAAACTTTAATATTTGTTAAATTGTTAATCATTATTTATTTTCTGATTTGGCGACGCATATGAATATTTAAATTTTTAAAAAATCATTTTAAAGTGATATTCGTATCCATGCAGTTTTGTTCCACTAATATTGAACTGACAAACTTTTTTATACCAGAAATTGGACCAACTGCTAATGTTTTAATGGTTCCATCTGCCAAAAATACAGCTAAAAAAAGATAAATAAATAAATTATAAAATTATTGATGCCTTTAAAAATATCTTTCAAATCATAATTTCAACATCTTAATTCAATATTTTGAGTGTTGCATTGTGTGCTTCACCTACTTTATGTATTGATGAATATCCATGCTTTTGCTTTAAAAACGTACAATAGATTATTTTTATCAATATGTAATTGTATATATTTTTAGGTATATATAATTCATCAAAATTTAGTTGGATTTTTTTCAATTTCTCAAATTTATAAATGATAAAAAAGTGAAATTTTGTATGGTACAGGAACTCTTAAATCGACAATATGTTTCATGTTAAAATTTTTTCAACTTTTTAACTAAGAAATAAATCCAAAATTTTGACCGGTAATATTATAGAAAGAAATTTTTTGATAATACCGATTAAATTTTGAATTCATTTCTTAGTTAACATGTTGAAAGCTTAATTAAGAAGTTGAAAGCATTTTTAACATGAAACTATTGTCAATTTAAAGTTTCTGTACCATATGAATTTAAACTACAGAATCATATAAATTTTTATCTGTGTTTCTTATCGTATGCACATTTTTGTGTACAGTAATTAGCAAAAATGAGTGTTTCTAAACTTTTGATCAAGTACTGTGCTTTCCTTTTTCTGCTAATTTCAAATACCAATCAAATATTTTGCTATCTATTCTTATTCCATTTTTTTTTAAATCGTTGACATAAACTAAGAAAACGATTTTATTATATATAAATTAGATAAATAAGCATATACTTATTTATGAAATTTCATTTTGACTCTTGTCTTGGATTATAGATAAAATTTGTCAAAAGATAGTTATTAATCTCTCGTGAATTTTGAACCATCCTCATCGTCTTTGATTTTCATGGCAGAAGATTACTTGTATTTATAAATTCATATTGTTTATTCAATGGATAATGAATGACAAAGTGGAGAGTCAATTTACGCATTTATTATAATCTATACCTGTATCCAACTATCCTTTCTGAACGTACATTGATTGCTTGTCTACCTTTTTATATTTCATATACATTTGGAAAGAAGATTACTATATTTAGTGAATCTATGTTGTTGACTCATAAAAGAAATAATATGGCATAACATATTGAATATCGTGATTCTTAAAACTCCACATTATTATGATCAACAAAATACTATTTCTTGTATATGAGAATAACAGTAAATCAATGAATTTGAATTTAAAAAGCAAAATATCATGTATAACTTTCAATTAATATACGTACATGTAGAAGAATAAATCATAAGAAAATATTATTAGTGGCAGTGATACAAAGCACGTAACAAATACGTGTTAACGTTAAGGTGAGGGTGAGGAGTAGATTCTAGTGGACTCACTTTTCCGATATTTTTAATTATCTCAAGCTAGATTTAGACATCTACGTACTTCCCATATTTTTTCACATTTTTAACATTTTTCATTTCTTCTATCGGAGTACTTTTGCCGAACCGATCAAAAAATTATGCTCTCTTATTGGTTGTGTCGCACGGCATGTCCATTTCGGGCTTGTATCGCTTGTATCACTTGTATATGCGAATTAAAAAGGCAACTCCACAATAAATCATAATACATGTACATGTATATACGTAATAGAATGGTGGCTTGAATGCATTCCTTATAATCAGATTATTGAACCTACTGAGAAGGAGGTTTAATTGGCAAATATGCAGACTTAAAGAGACTCATCTTAAGGGTTTATAGATAATACAAAAGTATCGAAAATCCTTTTATAAAAATTCAATAGATCAAATGACTAGGTTTCATATACGGAGTCTTAATTTTATTCTTGTTTCAGAACATTTATAGTTACCTCAAAGAAGGGTTGCAACTAGAGATGGCGCAGCAAGTACGTGACGCTTATTTGTCACCTGTGACAACACGTTGCAACTCCAAAATTTTATAAGCCGCAACTAGTTGCAACTAGGTGATGCTTTATTTGTCACCACGTTGCAACAGTTGCCGCGCCATCTTTAGTTGCAACAACTTTATTGTTAAAATATTGTATATCGTGACGTGATTTCATGGTGGCATTGTTCTATGCAACGGTCAACTTTTTAGCATATGCGATCTAGAATCAGAAATACAACAAATTAAAAATAATTCCATGCATTGCCCTAGAAATCCTACGGAAAAAAGCATGCACCAAAGCATCTGATATCTATTCCGTTGGTATATTGATGTAATAAAGCTACAATTTTCACTTTATTCTAAGCACGATATATGTACGGCTTACGGCGGCCAGAGATACGCCACGAAAATATATTGAATTAATGGCACATTGCTGAGATTCTGATTCATCTAAACTAACAACAATAGATGGAATTATCCAATTGAGAGGTTATAGTGGTTTACAAGCTGAGTCTCCTATCGCCACGAACAATTAACACCCTGGCACAATATAATAAAGTCTGTCTATTTGAGAAATACAAAAAACAACGAGTTCGAAATTCTCTTTACAGTATAAGATACAAGATAGTTATTTATAAAGTCTATGACCACGCAAAATTTTTTGAGTGTTTTATTAATAAAAACAGTGAGAATTCATGTCATTACACTACATAATTACTTTTTACAAAAACTGTTTGTATAGATAGGTTAAAGAAATACTGTTGATTCTTTTGCTTATTAATTATCTCTTATGTGTTTATTTAAGAAACAACGACTGTATAGAGAAAAAGGACTTTTACTCGATTTGTTGTCTTCTGATCAAATACATATTTTCTAAAGTTTTGTGATAGTTTAAAATTGAATACATTTTACATTTTTAATAAACGTATCCCGAAGTCGTGCCTCAGATGGCCTGGAGATGTTGCTAAATATGTAAATGTAAAATTTGCGGAGTTTGGGAACCACGAGAAATGTAACAAAAGCGTTTTAGAATCAGCAGTCTGATGATGATTATTATATCGATATGAAAAGTGAGTTAACTACTTTAGAAAGAAAGAAAAACTTTCGGATAATTTAAATAGTGTTAGTACATCAAAAATTACATTGTAATTCACATTAAATTATTTTGGATATAGGTTAACAATGTTCGTCCTGGAACTGTGGATTGAGAAATAAATTATTATCAACTTTTTATAGCAAGTTCTCATACGCGCGTAGTCCTAAAACATTTTCTTATTGTATCCAGATGCACATCACCTTGGGGAATGAAACGCACATGTTAACATTCATAAATGAATAAATTAATTGTTCATCTAATTGTGATAAATCGAGTTAGTTTGATTTGCACCTTTTTTTCATGTGAAACGAACGTTAAAATTGCGTCACGGGTAACGGTAATGTATGATCTTGTATTGAACATCTGTTGATATCGATATTAAATACAGTATGCTTAGCGTTAACATGTATCGAGAAAAAACTATAAAGTCACTAGTTTAGATTATTCTTATCGTTATAAATTTTCTCAATTAGAGAACAAAGATGGCAGAAACTACGCTAATTTATCCTTCTTTCATTCAGAACAAAAAAAGAACGCGTACTGCTACATCATTGATGCCCTCTAAAAAAGCGAAAGATTCGGATTGTCCCAGAGACGTCCTGAAAAATTCCTACATTATTGAAATGTTCAATAATTCTTTAATAGATAACTTACTGATTCTATTCAAGAAAACCTTCCAGTCTTCTCGAAATTATGAGATAGAAGCTTTGTACTTAAGGTTTTATATCGAACAACAAACACAATATATTCCCGAACACCTTTTTTTTCACAGACTGGAAAACGATAGTCAGTATACAACCTTCTTAGGTTTTTGTTATCATTATGGAATTAGAAAAAAGCAGAACTATGATCTCGCTTTGAAAATTTATCATAACTCCGCAAATCGAGGAGA